GAGACAATGGCATAGTGTAACACACGCGCTAACTTAGTAACTTACTAACTAATCGGGGAACAAACAGAGTTATAAAAACTTATTTTTATAATTTCTTACCAGTAAAACCCTCTATCTCATGCTCTTATTTTTAAGATGATAAATTATTGTTATTATGTGATATCAGTATCCCCAAATAGATACTTGATTTCAAATTATCATATTTTTTTAATGATCTGAATCACGGTATTTTGTCCAACTCTTCGGAAATATCCCTTCTGAAACAGACAGCATTCCATTCTATGCAGTTTTAATATAAGAGCAGATCCTGCACCTGATAGATTTAAAGTTGGAGCAAAATTGAAAAAAAAGATACATTTCATGGAATCAAATGTCATGGTAAATTACAGAAATTCAAAAGGACATTCAAACCGTGTTTATCAGATATTCAAAATCAAGAATGGTCCAACTTTTTCATTTGCAATCTGGAATGTAGAAAAAGGTGCAAAACATAGAATGGAACGGTAAATCATTTCGAACTGTCCGCTAACTATAGTAACCCTAATCGGGGAACAAACAGAGTTATAAAACTTATTTTTAAACCAGTAAAGTTTCTATCTCATGCTCTTATTTTTTAAGATGATAAATTATTGTTATTATGCCTGATATCAAAAAAAAAGAGACAGATAGTGAAAAATGAAAAAATTAAAAGCTGCATGTACTATGTACCGCCCTAGATACTTGATTCATATCATATGAGGATAAAAATCAAACACATACTGTTTATCATATTTTTTTAATGATTCGCAGAATCGGAAGTCCAGACATCATGACGGTATTCCTTTTGTCCAACTTTTCGAAATATTTCTGAAACAGATTCCTTGTTTGCAAACATGATCAAGAATTGTGTGAATTCCAATTCTATGCAGTTTTAATATAAGATTCTTGTGATGATTATTTCTTTGTATATAAATTGTATGCTGCCTAATGTTTTTGTTTATATATATATATATATATATATATATATATATTTAATTCGTTCTTTGGCCTCCAGCTTTTCTTTCAGGGTGTCATTCTTTTATAGATGCAAATATTTAATTCCAAGAAATGTTCTGTTTATGTAGTTAAATAACTATATATATAGGTACTGTTTTTAAACAACATTTACCAGAATATCCTCAAAATAGGGAGAAATTTTCAATTAATAGAGAGTCTTATGTGAAATCTCTTCGGACATTAAAGGCTTATACATTCTTTTATAGATGCAAATATTAGCAAGGTCTGTTTATAATAGGCAGTATTAAAATTTACCAGCCTGAATATCGAGAAATTTTCAAACGGTTCCGTATAGGATACAAGTTCGAATCCTATCGAGGGCGAATATTTATGAAAATTTTCGGACATTCAGGCCGGTAAATGTTGTTTAATAGTGTTTATTATAAACAGAGTATTTACTTAAATATTTGTATCTATAAAAAGAATGTATAAACATAAAAATGTCTTAAAATAATTGTCGGACTTTCATAACATATATATATATATATATATATATATATATATATATATATATATATTAAAGCAAAACAAAAACAGGCGATGAAAACAATGGAGAACATACCAAAACCTAAAACTCTTACCCAGATAGAGTCTCGAATATAATCGACAATACTGAGAAAAGAAAGGGAACAAAACGGCCTAAAAGCAAACCTACGTCCGGTGGTCGAACGGGAAGGAACTGGTGTTTTTCTCAGTATTTGTCCGTAAGCAGATTGATTCGTATAACTTGTCTTACTCATGACGTTTCGACTAAGTTTTTGTTCACCTCATGTGTGGCCAGGCATTGAACTCACATCTATTTGAGTTAAGTCACCTGGTCCAGTGGATAAAAACGTTGATTGGAGTAATCCATTGACTTGATCCAAAGGGTTATGAGATCAATAACTGGCAGCAGCAGATGGGAACAAAATCTTGGAGAGTTGAGTTACTAAAGGGAAATAACTGAAAACTGAGATATCCAGAAAGGGAATGGCACGTGGAACTACATCAATCTACCCCCGGTGGACGAAATAATGGGTTCGGTTGGAAGTTCCAACTTATATCACCTTATGACAATAAAGATGACGACAACATTCCGAACAATGTAAATTGTGTAAATGTTGTGGAATGATTTCGCAGTGGAGGCTTGTATTTGTACTAAGTCGGTCCTAAAATAGGTTCGACGTACAAAACGTTAGGAACTTGATATAATAGGTATAACGCAGAGTAATCTGGTTGTGGTCGTTGATACTTTCGTATTCGACTAACTGTCGTCCGACATCGACTGACTGACCGACTCCCTCACCGACTGACTCGTTACTACTCCTACTTATTATAGGTGGGAGAGTCTATTAACTATAGAATAGGTGTATTTCACTATAACATTAAAACAAATATTTTACTAGGCAAAATAAACGTATCTTTTTTATACATTTTTATTCTGATTTTTTTCAGCTTTTGTAATGAATATACAACAAAACACAGAAAAATGATATCTGAGTGAGCGCGAATACAGACTATATATAACCATTAATATTATTAATTTGCAAATTGAACTAGTAATGTCTTTATATTTAAAATAGAATATGTTAAAAGTACAACAAAGAATTTACCGTTTTTGCTTTTAATCCTCTCGTTCCCTATTGGATATTGGGTGCCAAGAGCTCTCCATCGAGCACGATACTGGGCTTGTTCTGCAGCTTCCCTCCAGCCCCATCTCAACCAGGTCTTCCTCCAGGTCCTGAATGGTCTACGTCTTCTACTCTAAAAAGGTCCTCACTGGCATTGTCGATGACACTCGCAACCCATAACCAATCATCTTGCGCCTAAATGTATTGCGCCGACGATGCTTGAGGAGCATCCTTGGCTTATCATGGCCAGACCACATAACGAACAAAGAGATCATGGCGAAATCTGTGCAAACTGATCTGCAAGAAAAAAAAATCACAGTACGGAGGCGCAAGATGATTTTGCTTTGTTAGCAAACCAGAAAATATAAACTTGATCATTGTAATACAGATTAAATACTTTTCTTCATTTTCTAAGATAAAGCAAAACTTGGGGAACTGGTTTGAAATGCGGAGAATTGGAAAAAAAATTCTGTTTTGTGGTTTGTAATCCGCTGTATTCTCCCTTCTGGTGCCTCTCTCGCATCTGCAGCAGGTGCATTTGTGTCACACGAAGCGCCATCACCATCCAACACTGATGGACGGGGTTTCGCTTAAGTGAGCGATGATATTTCGCTTGTTCGTCGAAAGCAGCCTGTCACCTGTGAGATAGACAGCTACCCCTGACGCCTCATTAATTCAGCGGTTCGCTCTCTGGCTAGATCGTAAACCTGCCCTTTTTTTTCTAACCTAACCCACGCTACGTTGATAATTTGCTGTCTTTCTTGCACGTCAAGTCTTATTCTATTTCTCTCTCTAATGTGGACTCACGTCATGTTGCATGTTTAACGTGCGAAAGTCTAACACCAATGTCTTGGTTTTAATTCAGTATCAATTGTTTGTTTTTGTTTGCTTTTTATGGGGTTGTTTTTTTTTTCTTTCTTTTTTTTTTTTTTTTTTTTCGTTACCCGCCATTAGCGAGCGTTTTCAATGTTGCAACTAAAAGAAAAAATAATGTAACTTCAGTTTTTCAAAATCCCTTGATTAAAGACTGAGACTTTACTACTATAGCTAAAGACTTTCCTGGGGGGGGATGATTCATGTCTACTTCAGGCAATAAACTGATGATAATTCGTTGAATATCAGCATTTTGGTTTTTAGTTGTTATAGCTAGCAAGCACCACGTCTGCTTCTGTGGTTGATTAAAACTAAGGATTTCGACCCAACATAGAATATTCCCAGGATTGGGACGGCAAATCAGATTTTGATATATGTTTTATTTTATCTAAATCCATTGATCATAATATCACTCAGACAACTTTTTTCCTAGAGCTGTTACATTGTGGAACAAACTCCTGAGAGAATGCTTCCTCAATAACTACAATCTTGATCTCTTTAAATCTAAGGTCAACCGACATTGATACTACTCGTCCTCATAATACGGCTATATTTGTGGAACAAACTCCTGAGAGAATGCTTCCTCAATAACTACAATTCTTCCCAGACAACTATAATCTTGGTCTCCTTAAGTCCAGGGTCAACCCATATCTATACGACTCATCCTAATAATATTCTCTTACTTTCTCCTTTTCCCTCTCTTAAAATTATACTGAAAGCCTATACCTTGAGAGGCCCTTGGACCTTGTATTGGGTAAATTATAAGTAAATAAAAAAAAATCATTTTTTAAGACGCTGACATACCTTTGTTCAATTTTACCAATTTCTTTCTTAATTATATCATTTTTGGCTTACCGTATATATCATATGAAGGATTTTTCATATATCTTGTGTATATTGCGATACCAGTTTCTGGGAAATACTAGACGGCCTACCGTAGTCAAATATTGCAGTACTGGTCATCATCCGGGACATATTTTATAGCAAAATGGTCTTCATTCTTTTTTGTACAAAGCTACCCCAACATAGTTACAAAATCTGATACGAAGATTTAGATATTGTACTTTTATTTTCGTTCATTCCTGATCGCGGTGCAGTCGATCACCAAAAATACTTGATTTTTAACCTCTTTCAAAAATTACCACTATATTTTGCGTAAAGAAAAATTTATAAAAACCCGAGTACATGCTGTAATTCTGTTTGCTCTAAATATAATCCTGAAAAGTTTTAATTTTTACACTTTTTAAACATCCGACTTTATCTGGTTATAAGGATAGAGGCTAAATGTGGATCGTTAATATATATGTGTTCTTTGTGTTAATGTTTAATCAGCAAATTATTAACGAGTTTCTATTACTCGCTTGTAAAATCCTAGCTGGGTTGTGAAATTTCTATCCTATTACACAATACTAATATTAACATGTACGTCTGCCGATTTAATATTTCAGCTATCTGATTTGTCTTCTTTATTCTCTTTGACAGCATTCTATGTTAGAATATTTTCTGTCCACACGAGAAGAGGTCTTCTTCATGGCAGTCCGAGATCGGATGCAGCTCTCTATAAACTCTATAAAGGAAAAGTAAGTATTTAACATGACTTCTTTTTTTTATTTTTCAGATATAAGAGTTATCGGCATTGTAAACATATTTTCTCGGAGTAATGTCCTCAACTTCATTGTTATGATCACAAAGTTTTGACTATTTTACGCTTTGACCCTTTTCAGGCTTCTGTCGCAATTTCCAAACATTTCGAAACGAGACCTCTCATAAGTACGCAAAGATAGATAGCAATCATTCCGATGTCCATGGATAGCCAGGAGAAGATAACTCGTATCAATTAATTATATCTTATTAATTCATCCTTACAATGTCACTTGTCTCTTCTTCTTCTTCTATGTGCCGTGTACCTTCAGGACGTTGGAAATAATGGTCCTCCACAACGTCCTGTCCTCAAGAGAGAAATGCGGGGGAAGTGACTATTAGCATAGAACTTACGGTTATAACTACCAATTCCAATATTGGAATTATGGGACCTATTTGCCAATCTAGTACTGCGCTTAAATTTGTGAAATTGATGTCCCCAAAAGCAAAGCTAATCAGAACAAATGCCATGAATATATTTATAGAAAATTTAAGCTACGTTACAGCGGTGGGAAAGTGGCTGAAGCCGAGATGCAAGATCAGGGCTGATAACATTGCAGATTCTTCTTTGGATTTTGTCAAGAATAGGATATCATTTTTGTATTTCGAGCAGAAGATGATTCTAATGAACAAAATAATTCCATTTGAAACGGTTCTTAAAAATGGTATTACAAGATTTCTGCAAACTGAAATGATATATCAACGCATTTGGGATGTCCTACATGCAAAGAAACTCCACATCTTCTTGTCAATCTTCAAGAAAATTGGCCAAATATTTTAAAGAGAAGAAACAAGAAACCAATGTTCTGGGAGGTTCAAATTCGCAATAGTTTATCTTCAGTTCATACTTTCATTAGATTTATACAATCGGTAAGCACATGGATTACACCCTGCTCTTCAGTCCCCAGGAATGTATAAAATCACAGGGCGGTTGGAGCGCTTCTCTTGTAAGGCAGTCCACCTAACAGAAGGCTATTTCGTCAAATAAATAAATAACAAAAACTTGCAGTCACCTTTACCGACATGGCTTACTGGTCCCCTAGTGATTGGTTTCGGTTTGTACGAACAGTTAATCTCCATTTTAAACAGTCAGTGACTGGAGGGTGAATCTAATTATCTTGATCTCATATGGAAAAACTACAATATATATAGAGAGATATGTTTATGTATGTATATATAATGAAATGGTTTAAGTCCGACAATTATTTAATATATTTTCTGTTTACGCGTTATTTTTATAGATGCAATTTATTTAAGTAAATGATGTTTTGTTTTGTTTTTTAATTAAACGGTATTAATTACATTTACCGACCTGAATATTCGAGAAATTTCGTCGAGAATATGCGTTCTCCGACAGGAATCGAACCTGTATTCCTATACGGAAACTGTCATTCAATTTAACGTGGTATACCATTTAGCTACAGAGAAGCGTCTTGTTAGCATAATCCTAATTATTGCTTTTATTAATTGCATCTATGAAAAAAACGGATAAAAAGAAAATATATTAAATAATTATCGGATTTAATCCATTTCTTTATATGCTGCCATTGTTTACGTTAAGATACGTTTCGTGAGTAGAAACGATCAATCAAGAAAAATCGTCAAAAACTGTGTGTTTAAAAACAGTAATTTATACTTTGTTAACCAGACGCTTCTCTGTAGCTAAATGGTATGGTTATGGTCCAGGTTAGGACCAAGGAAGAACAACACGAACACGAGAGTAGAAATAACGAAGGTATATTACACGAAATAATAATACAAGATGTGGAAGGTGTTAGTATGACTGTCAGTCTGGTTTGGAGTGAACTACTATCGGCTCGACTCGATTCGATTTAATTGCCCCCCACGAGGGAAAGATGTGGCACAAGGCCGAGTTTTACGTGGGTTTTCCGAGCCCGTAGGCTCGGCCAAAAAATGCCCGTAGAAACTATAAGAACAGAATAGGATTGGTCAACTTCCCCGAACGAGACTCTGCCCTTCGGCGGAGCCTCGTCCGGGTGCCTCTCTGCTCAGAGGCAGAGAGTTCAACTGTCAAGCCGAGAAGCTAGGCTCGATTCGGTATCTCGCCCCACTCCCACGAGGGTTGCATGTGGCACAAGGCCGAGTTTAACGTCGGTTTCCCGAGCCCGTAGGCTCGGCCAAAAAATGCCCGTAGAAACTGACTGTAAAAACAGAATTCGGTTGGTCAGTACAACCCCGAACGCGACTCTGCCCTTCGGTATGGCACGTCAAATCAAATGAATAAGATAAGAAAATAGGTTCGATTCCTGTCGGAGAACGCATATTCTAGAGGAAATTTCTCGAACATTCTGGCCGGTAAATATAATTAATACTGAAATAAATTGCATCTATAAAAATAGCGTATAAACAGTATATATATATATATATATATATATATATATACTTAAATTCCGTTGATTTTTCAGCTTCTAAAACACGTAATGTATATAATATCTATATAATGGGCCATAGTGTAGGAGATTGTGCGTCACGGGGAACCTAAATGCAATACCGTCAGGAGCTCGGTCTCCTGGTAAGTATTCGGGAAAGGGTCCAGTACGATCCGACACCCTGCAGGTAGGCGGTCAAGGAAACATTCTATGTATGAGAACAAATGGGCTGATCGATGCAAGCTGTCATCATAAATTTGGCTGTCAAGCGCTGGTTTGCCACAACGGTTGGTGGCAGCTGTAGTGTGTGTGCCATGGAGTGGCGACCCATGGACCACCTCAAACAATTCTCAGCCAAGGCTTTCATGCTCAAAGTATTTTCTTTTTCAGGTCTAACATAGGACTCATTTGACAATGAAAGAAATTCCTATACTCGGCAAGTGATTATTTAGAGCCGAGATGGTGTCTGTGTGGTAGTTAGAATTCTTTTATCTAAATCCTGGCATTCTTTGGGAAACTGAACGTTTGAAATGGTCCAAGCTTTACGTCATGTGTAACGGCTATTCGAAAAGAATCCGCACAAAATCCGAAAATTGGAAAGATGTCATAAAAAATTAAACAGGAAGACCTTGATGGTCCTTTTTAATTAAAATTGTTTGGATGAATACTTGCTGCCTAAGCACACGCACGCACGCAGACACACATACACACACACACACGTACACACACACACAAACACACAGACACACACACACACATATATATATATATATATATATATATATATATATGAATAAAATGGACTAAGTCCGTCAATTATTTTAATATAATTATTGTTTATACGTTCTTTTTATAAATGCAAATACTTAAGTAAATGCTGTGTTTATAATAAAGAGTATCAACAACATTTACCGGCCTGAATATCCGACAAATTTCATAGAAAATATATGACCTCCGACAGGAATCAAACTTGTATCCTACACGGAACCGTCATACAGCCTGACGTGCTATACCATTTAGCTACAGAGGAAGCGTGTGATTATCAAGGATTCGATTCCTGTCGGAGGATGCATATTTTCTATGAAATTTCTCGGGCCGGTAAATGTTGTTAACAATGTTTATTATAAACACAGAATTTATTTAAATATTTGCATCTATAAAAATAATGTATAAACACAATACACACACACACACACACACACACATATATATATATATATATATATATATATATCATGTGTTTCAGGCGAGCGGTAATCATCAGACATAACCTTTTTTTAGTTTATGCATGATGACAGCCATATATCTGAAACATTCAGTAGCATCGTAAGGAAGAACGATATAAATTGTTTTTAACATATATATATATATATATGTGTGTGTGTGTGTGTGTGTATGTGTGTGTGTGAGTCTCGAATACAATAAACAATGCTGAAAAAAGAAAAGGAACAAAACGTCCTTAAAGCAAAAGTTCGGTGGTCGAACGGGAAGGAACTGGTGTTTTTCGCAGTATTTGACCGTAAGCAGATTGATTCGTATAACTTGTCTTACTCACGACGTTTGACTAAGTTTTTGTTCACCTGATGTGTGGCCAGGTATTAAACTCACATCTCTTTGAGTTAATAAACAGTATTAACTACATTTACCGGCCTGAATGTCCGAGAAATTTCATTTAAATCGACAGGAATCGAACCTGTGTCCTACACGGAACCGTTATATAGCCTGACGTGTTATACCATTTTGCTACAGAGGAAGCTACTTGTTAACAAATTCAAATTACTGTTTTTAAACTACAAATTTCCCATGATTTCTCTCGAACACTCATATCTGCTTGAAGCGTATCTTAACGAAAATAAAGGACATCTTATATTATGGAATGGACTCAGTCCGACAATTATTTGAATATAATTTTTGTTTATACGTTATTTTTATGGATACAAATTCCTCTGTAGCTAAATGGTATAGCACGTCAGGGTTTATGACGGTTCCGTGTAGGATACGGGTTCGATTCCCGTCGGAAGACATATTTTCTATGAGATTTCAAGCCGGTAAATGTTGTTAATACTATTTATTGTAGACAAGGCATTTACTTAAATATTTGTATCTATTTAAGAGAAAGAAAATGAGTGACTTTTTAAAAAGTCGTTAATATTTTATGTTCTTTGCTTTAAGTATCCGAGTTTAGAGACAGAATCCCTCGGATTGGGTAGAAAATAAATGAATGATTTGTTGCTCATCTATGCGTTCTCCATGTTGACAGGATGTTATAAATTTGGGTATATGATCCCGATAGAGTTATTAATTATTGGCAATTGAAAAAACGGTCAGGAAAGTTTAATATTTCGATAATGTTTTCTAAATGTCACTCATTTTTTTCTCTTTTTTAGCCACGAGCAACGCCAGCTTGGAAATAATATAAGATTTCATTATTTTAAACATACACAATCATATACACAGGCAACCAACTCATTTTTTTTTTTTTTTTTGCATTCGATCTGATGAAGCCTAATCAGCAAAATGCATAGTTGGATGTCTTTTCGAAACATTTA